TTCTTCCTTGTCTTCCAAGCCATCCGATGAAGAATCTGCATCTTGATTTCCTCAATAACTTTATCCCCCGACTGATTGAATTTGTCAAAGAACTTCCTGTTTCGTTCCCTCCAAATATGATATACCGTTGCCGAGATACCAAGTTTTTGAACCGTAGACCAAGATTTCCAAGTTTGAGTGGACCCTCTGTGAAGAATATCCTCCCAATTGTTTGGACAGTTCGTTAATCCCACCTCCATTTTAATAATTTCCCAAATACTGCTTGAGTAATTGCATTCAAAGAACAAGTGATTGTGCGTTTCAATCACTAATTTACAAAACACACACTTTAAATCCGGCGGTTCRTGCTTCCACTGACTTATACGATCTTGAGTTGGCAATTTCTTCTGACAAGCCATCCACATGCAAAGAGCATGTTTAGGCACGTACGCTTTATTCCAAACTAGTTTATASCAATKCACAACYGGCTTCACCTCTTGGATAGTTTTCCAAGCCAATTTTATCTCAAAATCAACCCGAGAAAGTTTATTATCAAGCCATCTGACCGTATCCTCCACATGACTGGGGAACGGAATCAGAACACCCTGCAGCTGAGGATATTGTTGAATCCAATCCACCGGCCAATTAGTACCAAAACGTTGCATTACATCAGATACCGTGGAGTTATTGTGAAATCCCTGGCCATTAATGAATCTATAAGACAGGGATTGAATGAGAGGACCCGACTCGCTCCATGTATCTTCCCAAGCATGCGTAGATAAACCATTTCCCACATTGTAGATAAAGAATCTCCGGCAATGAGATCTTAAGTCTAAAAGGCTCTGGAGTATCCACAACCACTCATTCCTCTTCTTGATAAACCAGAAATTACGTCCCCGAACACAGTGAGACCGAATCCAAGAGACCCACATAGTATTTCAGCCCTTTAGAATATCCCAGATATGTTTAAATAGAAGACACCTATTCCAAGTCGCAAGTTTTTTCAAACCAAGACCCCCACTTTGAATAGGCAAGCCAACTGTATCCCAAGCAACTCGACATTTACCCAACTGACCCTCTGCTTTATTCCATAAAAAATTACGAAAAAGCTGCTCAATTTCATGGATTGTGGTTGCCGGTACAAGAAATACCGACATCCAAAATGTTTGCATTGAGTGAAGCACTGAGAGAATTAGTTGTCGACGCCCTCCATAGGAGAGGAATTTATTCTTCCAGTTTAAAAGTCGAGATTTAAGCTTTAACACAAGGGGATTAAARTCRCGTACCTTCAGACGAACCGGAGAAAGAGGAACTCCCAAGTAACGAAACGGGAAAACCCCTGGCCGAAAAGATAAACTATCACGTATAAGAGTTTGAACCTCCATTGCTACATTCCCGAAAAACACCTCACTTTTTTTCAGACTTGGCAACAATCCCGAACATTCTTCAAACAAAAGAACTAACTAGTTGTTAATACGACTAGTTGGGTAGAATGTGTCTTTAGTGTCCTCCATGGGTCCATGTACACTCATTGGGTATATTGGGCCTATTTAGTTGTAATCGTGTCGTTTGGATCAAAATGACAATAAATGGGTCATAATTAATCTGATTAG